GAAAAAATTTTTTTCTCATCAAAAAATTTCTACTCAGAGTAAATTAATTCTCCCTCATGAATGTTTCACAAAAAATTTCCTCGCAAATCATTATCAGAACGTTGAAAGAGAGGGTCATTTTCAAATATTTTGAGTGAAACCGTTCAACTGGAATTTTTGACTGACTACAGATTCACTTCAACTTCTGCATGATCGGATCACCGCTACCATCAAAGCAATCATAATCGAGATCCTTCGTGAAAACAAGAAGCAGCAAATCGATCGCTAAACTCACCGGAATGATTTGTCCAACAACACCGACCGGCTCATGACGTGTATAGCAAAAGTAGTCGCCAGCAATTGGAATTGTTCTACCCTGATTTTTATCAGCCCAACCGGCGAAGTACCTTCAATAAATCGTGTCACAACTCATGCTTCGTCAACTCATCTCAGTCATTTGATGAATCTCTGCTGTTTTGACAAAAAAACACTCGAAATACTCCTCTTGCAGAATTTTTTTCGTTGCTTTATCCATCCATAAGATGATCCCACAGAAACTAATAATCACCTCAAACATTTTATTGATAACGCCAAATCCGCAGTATACGCCACTGTATACGGTTTTCCATTGTCCAGCGACTCAAGACTCTGAAAAAAAACAGCCGATGTTCCCTTTGTGAACAAACCATATCGCTCCTGTCCTAACTCAAAATCTTCTGCTCACAGTTCAATGAAATAACCTTCTCAAGATTTAAAATCTATGAAGATTTAACGCCCAAGCCAACGACGGAGATAAAATGATACATAAACCCAAATAGGATCTTATGAATCTTATGTATTAATTGTATTTATAGGATGGATTACTTGTTAATCCTCATCAATATTATCCCGATGGAAGAATATAAAATCCATCGAATCATCTGCGACAAATGATACTGCTTAACTAATCAGTAATACTGATGCTCTGATGATAGCAATGATACTGAAGAATATCTCCAACAAAATTTGCATTTTGCTCAAAACTCGCCACAGAATTTGGCTCCAAATGGAATCTAATATTCAAATTTTATTTCTCCTCAGCCCATTTTCCAGAAACCTTAGCGGACTGACCGCTATAAGCACCCGATCCCGCTCCATCAAGTCGGCCAG